GCATGTATTAAGGGTTGAGAGATCTGTGCGTATGTAGGCTCTGATTCAAAATAAGGTTTCACATAAAGGGGCGCGTGTGGGTCACCACATTCGGAGGCGTTTTTAAACGCCTCCTATTATAAAACGGTGTCGTTTTGTTTAATAGAATATGGCAGCGTTTATAAAACGCCGTTAAATACTAATAACAGTGACGTTTACAGAAACGTCGTTAAAAAAACGCCACCAAATCCCCCTTTTCCTGTAGTGTTACCAAAAAATTATGCCGGAAACTAATTGGAATAAAGATGTCAACAAAAAATTAATATTCACTCACAATTATTATTTGTTTTTCCATTCTATAATTGTTTTGAAGAAGTTGGCTCAGAAATGAAGGAATGTAAGAAGCACGGAAACAAACACGGACACAAACACGTGGCATGAACGAATATGACACGGAACACACCAGCATAGCAATTTTCAAAAGTACACGACATTTACACATGGGGGACACAAATAGAATTTATAATTTTATATATTTATTATATGTCATATACATGAACATATCATTCTAAGACAATACATAAATGCTAAGAAGCCACAACACCTCTCCAGAGGCAACGTATAGGTGTCCGACACGTGTCAGACACGAACACGTGTCGGACACAATGGTGGACCGTGTTGGACACTCTACCTGGCATTTTTTTTTTTTTTTAAATTTCTGCAGCGGACATGCTTGGGACACTCTTGGACACTTTATGGACCAATTGAAGATGGAGAGAGAAACCCTAACCTATAGACAGAGAGACAAAGAGAAAGAGAGAGGTGAAGAACAACATGTTGAGGCCCTTGGTTTGAGGTGTGCTCTTCTTTTCTTCATTATTCTTCTTCATTCTTCTTTTCTTCTGCATTTTTCTTCTTCTTTCGTCAATTCTCCTGTCCTCTCTCTCTCTCTTCTGTATGTTTGTGTTCCCTCTCTCGCTCCTTCGCTATGTGTGTTTAACTCTCTCTTCGCTTTCTCTGTTTTGACTCACTCTCTCGCTCGCTTTCTTTATGTTCGATTCTCTCTCTCTTCTCTCTCTCTCTCTGTTCAACTCATCTTCTTGCTCGACTTCTCTCTCTCTCCGACTTTCTCTATTGACTCACACCTCTTATCTCTATCACTTTGTTTCTTTTTTTTTTCTTTTTTTTTTTTTTTTTTTCTTTTTTTTGTTTTTTTTTTGTTATCTGAATATTATTTTTTTTTTTCTTTCCCTCCTCCTATTTTTTTTTTTTTTTTTTTTTTTTTTTTTTTTTTTTTTCGTTATTTTTTTTTTTTTTTTTATTTTTTTTTTTTTTTTTTTTTTTTTTTTTTTTTTTTTTTTTTTTTTTTTTTTTTTTTTTTTTTTTTTTTTTTTTTTTTTTTTTTTTTTTTTTTTTTTTTTTTTTTCTTTTCTTTTTTTTGGATATTAAGTCTGAAACTAAATTATTTTTATTTACAAATGAAAAACAAAAGTTGTGAATGAATTGATATTAACAGTAAATAAATAAAAAATAGAAGCAGCACAATATATATTTTTTAATTTGTTTTTAGCGTGGATAGATATGTTAAATATGTTTTATTTATAGATGAATAGATATAATTTTAAATAATATATATTCAATTGATATATTTTTTTATATTTTACATATAATAGATAAATAAACATCTATATTATATTGAGTGTATCCCCAACTGCGCGTCGTGTCCCCGATTGTTAAAAATTTTTGCATCGTCCACATGTCCGTATCCGTTTCCGTGCCATCCATAGCATTTAAATCGAATATAACACAAATCTTCTATAAATTGACATTATTTTCTATTTTATCATCGTATTCTAAGTTATTTTGTTCAAAACTCATAATTAAATTTTGTATGTGTCTAATTAGATGAACACGTGTGTCTCTCCAAGGTCTAAAGAGTGTCGCAGTCGTAAATTCTATTTAAAAAATTAGGACATGTTCGATGAGTGTCAAACACATGTGAAGAAAGTGTCCAACGCATGTGTTGTCCAACACCGACATGCCACCTTTTTAAAAGTGTCAGCCATTTTAGAGTTGTAGGATCCCAATTTTTGAACAGGCCCGGTCCCAGCTAACGGGTGTATGTTATACTTCCCAGTCAAGCCGTCACCTGAAGCAAAAATGCAAAATGCATTCGAAGTTACTTGAACTGCAAGTGCGGAAGTGCAAGTGCAGGAGAAGCGTCGCATGTGCGGTGGTAGGTGAGTCTGAAATTTTATTCTTTTCTTCTCTTTAGACTGAGTGTATCTCACTCTTGTTAGGTCTCTCTCTCTCTCTAAAAACCCTTTCCTCTCCCTTCTCTCTACATTTCCCTACGCCAAATTGGATCAAAATCTTGATTTCTTAAGATCCATTAGAGTTCTATCATAGGCTCTTCATCAAAGTTGGTTAACTTCTTGAGGGCTTCGTTGTGTGCGGTGAAGATCGAGTTTCGACACCGTTGATTTTGGGAGTTTCATCTCATTTCTTCTTCAAAATTTGAGGTACGGATTTTCTTAGAGTTATATATATATTTTTGCAAGATCTATATAATTTTCGAAATCATCTTTCGATAGCTTTGAAAATTGATTGTTGATTCAAGAAGTTAAGCGATTTTAAAAGTGAATTTGTCTCTTGTTCTTTTAAAATGATCTTATGGGTTTTGATCTTCGTTGATTGAAGAAAAGATGATTTTGGAAAGTTTTCTTTCAAAAGATTTGAGTTGTATAATTTTAGTGAGAAAACCTAGAATTTGGGAATTTTTTTAAAAGAGACTGAAAATTTATGAATGATATTGTTATATTTATTTTGTGTGTCAAAATAAATGGATATTTGAAAATTTTCTTATTTATATTTATATAAATGATGAATTTCAGGGAATATGTGAATTGTTATTCATTTTGAAAATTATTGTTCAAAACGTTGAAATAGTTTTGAAATGACTAATTGTTGAGGATACTTGAGGAGAGGGAATTGTGTTGCCTTGGATGATGAATTGAAATAAAAGTATTTATATTCATCTTGTGTTATTGGCATATCAATTCATTTGATTACATTAAACTTAGAAAGTTGATTTGAAAAATTGCATTGAGAAAAGAATGTTGAGAAACAAGTTTTTATGGAATGACTTTGGGGTAAATACGTTGGTAAGTTTTAATAGGTGGTGTAGATGATATTAAATAAGTTGACCTGAAAGTCCAGAGTGAAAGACCGAAAACCCGCGCGGATAGGTGTCGAGCCTTCCGGTTAAGACCGGTAAAAATGACAAATTGGTAGTACTTGTATAGTCTACTTGCAAACACCAACTTAAGGATTACCAAAGTCGTATTTACTGCTCTTGAAATGAATTGTTAAGTTTTGAAAAATTGAAATTGCATAACATCATTGAGCATTAGGGTTTTCAAACATGAAGATGTGATTTTCTTTCAAAAGGAAATAACATGGCATGTGCATTTCATCTCTTGAGACTTGTATAAAATGTATATACTTTGTTAAAGATTTTTTACTGGGCTTTATCCTCACCCTATCGGATTTTGGTGCAGGAAAAGATGTGGTGATGCCACCTAACTAAAGGCGCGAAAATGTGTGTTGAGAGTACGAGACTCTCATTTTGTTGTGACTCTGTGTAAGTCAAGGGCGGTATGTGTGTGGGTTTGAATAACCGTTTTGTGTAACCAGACTCAAGCTTTAGAAACTTGTAAATCCTTGAGGATATTTATTTGTTTATTTACTTGTTATTGGATTAATGTATTGTTGCATAAAGAACTATTGTATCATGTAATGTAAATTTGGATATTTATATTCGATTTTTCTTGAAAGAGCCATGATTGTTGTATTATCATTTGGATTAGAAATTTGGAACGTTACAGAAGTGTCCATTCTTCTAAGCAAGGAACTAATTGAAATAAAGATGTCAACAAAAAATAATTGTAACATCACGATTATTGCTATTGAATTTGTTTCTTATTTAAATTTCAGGGCACCATCAGGTTTCTTTTGGGTTCATGTCCTGTTCCAGCAGCAGCAAACCGCGCCCCCCCTCACTTTCGCCAAAACATAAAAATCCATCTACTCATGCATTGGACCTACTTCCTCTTCACTTTCGCCAAAGCATAAAAATCCATCTACTCATGCATTGGACCTACAGTTTTTAAGTTATCTAATCTTTTGTGTCATTAAATTAGGATCTATGGAACGCATTTACCTAATCATAGCGTTGCACATTCTTCTCAATTGGCTCATTCTACAAATGAAAATTGATGCATGTTTATTTACGTGCTTCATTACTATTTTGAGTGATTACAAAAGTATATCAAACCATTTCACATGATAACGACGTAGACTGAAATTTACCACCAGCTCTTAGCCTGAGTGGTATGAGTATCATCATCTCTAAATCTGGGGGGTCAAGGTTCAACTCCTGATTAGACATATGTTGTGTATCTTACTAAAATACATATATATAAATAAATAAATAATTACTTGACCTAGAATATATTTTTTTTAAAAAAACAAATTAATACTTATTCTGGCAAGTATTAACAAAATCTTCTTTTTGTTCTGATGCCATGCAATGCAGGAAAAAAAGTGGCAAAGATGAGCCACTAACTTTTGTTTCAAAATAACGAACTCTACCTAGGTAGAACCTACAAGGGAGGAAGCCCAGCAAGTATGCCTCCCTGTATCTTGAATTCATATTTATGTTACAGCCTGATGGGCAGGCTGCTACACCCATCTAACAATGGATGAACAACCTTTACGCTGTGTTTGGTTGGGAGATTTAGGAAGAGATTTGGAAATGAAAAAGGAAAAAGTGTGTGAAATTATGTGAAATGTGGGTATATTTTTTTTCACATTTCACCTATTTTTTCCATTTCTCTTTCCAAATCTCTCCTCAAATCTCTCAACCAAACATAGCATTAGTGATTTAGTTACTGTTCCAGCACTGCATCATGACCAGGTGTGAGGGTGACATCTACCTTCAATATATATTGACAAATAAATTTTATCAATTTATCGATGCATCAAATTACCAGCAACAGAAATACAAGCATTACAGCATGGGTAGCATACTAAAATCATTCTATTGCAGTTTACACAATATCCAACACAAAATCTTGAAAATCCTGGAAAATTTGGCAAAGCCACAAAAACCAACATGTGAACTATTAATCTAGTAAGCAATTATTATGTATAACTAACATGAGACCATTGCTATGTAATTGTTTACATCTGTATGTGCATCTGTATTCGGAAAAAGAGAGAGAAGGAATACAAGTAACTGTTATTGACCTATTTCATCGTAGTAGTCGCTTTTGTCATATCCATGGGGGTCAAATACATCTTTACTGAAGCAAGAACCTATCTGATCAATATCTTGATACGTCACTGCATGCAGCAAGAAGTTAGGATTCCGATACTCCTTTTTATTACGCACTTCTGCATTGTAGCTTTTGCCAAGTCGCTTGAGGTAAAGAAATTTGTTAATTTTCTCCTGCATTTAGAAAAACATGAAGTAAAAGATTTCAGGACAACTAGCATCAGCAACACATTTAGAGTGGCCACATTATAAAATGAGTTGAACAACATTAAGTTACAGGCAAAAACATAGTTAAAACGATCTACTCAGTCAGTAACTAATCAATACACAAGGACCAGCCACACCACCAAGAGTCCCCAAAATTTAAGACTTAAAAAACTCATGAAGTAGGACAGTCATTCAACGCATGGCATTAATAGGAGTAAATATTGGATGCAATAGTGATACCACGTAGCAGTATCACATCAAATGAGCAATCTCAATTTATGGCAGGAACCACAACATTATTGGGTTAGTGGGAGACAGAACTATCCACCTAATCCCATTTGCGGTTCTTTATTGGCCGGTGACACCATGTAGAATGGCGTACGATAGTATCACCATTACACTCAGTATATTCTGCATTAATAGACCCCAAGAGGGAACCTCTAATCAATCACATGAAAATTGGGTATCAAGACCACAATCCTGACCCTTGCTACTTATCAAAAATTGCTTAAATTAAAAGAAAATAATGAAATCAAGGGGTACCGGAAATACAAATCATCCTACTGACTTATCTAGCTCAAATTTTAGCAAAATTGGCCTGAGCCTCTCATCAACCACCGGCACAAAACAAGGTATATACTACAGTAGTTTGTTCACAAGTTGTTTTCAACAGCACATCACAAAAATAATAGAAATAAAAAATAATAATTAAAAAGAAAAAAAAAAGTAGGATAGAGAAATTCTAGATAGGCCCCATTTAGGTCATTACGTGTTTTATTTTAAGCTTTATTTCTTTAGGAGGGGTGTTATCAAGGGAATTCTTCCAGAAATATTTTCTTTCTATGAAAAGTGTCCAAAGAAATATCAACCAAACTCTTGACATTGGATCAGGCAAAATAAATCCACCTTAGCCAACCATAGAAAAATGAAACTCCAAATAAATAGGATAGGTCTAGTTTACTAGCCATTAATGTTGGAAGAAGAATAGGACAAACAGGAAATACCCAGTGAACAAGCCTCCCACTTTTACAGCAGGGAAGCAATAAACAATAATAACTATTCTGAACAAGGCTTATATTCCTCGAATTCTCAGGAGCCTCTTGGTTCCTTAAGTTTCAAAGCATGTATTCTAACTGCTCCACAAAATTGCACGAAACAACACACTCACATAGAAACATTAGAAGTTGTGCCATTACTCCGATAAGGAAAGATTCTTCAGCCTTCACTTATCTAGAATATGAATACAAGAAGTACATGGTAGATATCCAAGTCTGCACACGTTAGATTTTGACCATAGAAGTTAAATTGTTCAAGCAGGAAACTTTGCACCCCATGTTGAAGTCCTATATACATTAAACATCTCATGTAACCAAAACTTGTTTACTAAATCTGTATTTGCAATTTAACCAAAGAAGTAAGCCACCTAAACCAATAGAAGTTAAAATGTACAAGCAGGAAACTTTGCACCCCATGTTGAAGTCCTATATACTTTAAAAATCTCATGTAACCAAAACTTGTTTACTAAATCTGCATATGCACTTTATCCAAAGAAATATACCACCTAAACCAATGTAGACACAAGCATGCCCCCGATGCCCTTAACTAGTGTGGTGGTCTATGAAGCATGGGTACAGGCACGAGTACTGGTACTAGTACGATATGAGTAAGTAAAGTATGGATACAGCTAGGTACATTTGTAAAAAATATTTCTTTTTAATTTAGAGAGTAATGCAAAAAATTAATTACATGGTTTAATTTGTTAAGATCCAACCTATAATTAACATTTAATGTCAAAAGTAAAGGTATAAATCAAAATTAAATGTCAATATATTAAATAACTTACAAACCATAATTAAAATCATGCTAAGCATAAAACTAAAAATAAAAAAGAAGTCTAATGACAGGAGTTTTATCTCTGTAGTAGAAGAAAATATTGTTTTAACTGAGGTACAGTACAATGTGGGTATATACTAGCTACGTTTGGGTACGCCAAAAATTAAGAAGAAAAAATTTGAATACGTGTTTCATGTACTCGGTATGTATACAGAAGTACCATACGAGGTACCATAAGCCAATAAGTACCCAGTACGGGTACGGCATGTTTTTCAAAGTACCCATGCTTCATAGGTGGTGGTTCAATACCTTACTGCCACATTTTTCCAGACTAATGTAAAAGCTAAGGGACTATACCACAATGGGAGTCAGCAAGGTTGAATCACAGTTCGATACTTTTTTCAAATGAGAAGAGAAGTAGCCTAGCATAGGACTTCAAAAGGTTGCAAAAGCACCCGGCCTTACTGGAGACTTCAAATTACCCTACTTCTAGGACTCGCCAAGCTGGGATACTTCAAATTAACCAAGGCATATGCATAATGCAGATGGTTGGTTTATTGGGTAAACCCAATCAGCCCAAAATGAGGACACGGACATGGCAAGGACACAACAATAAAATATGTTTTCATATATTTTTATTTACTATCTAGATTAATATTACATCGGCAAACAATCAATATTAACAAAAATTAACTCTAATTCTATATTTATTTTTTATTTTTTAAAAAATTTAAATTAACACTTACGGTTTATATCTTTGTTTTTATGAATGACCTATTAAGTATTTAAATCTAAAAAAAAATAATAATAAACATTCAACATTCATCAAAAGCACTAAAAAAAATGGGGGGAAAAGACCTTGGCAGTCCCTAGAGTGTCCCTAAAGTGTCCCCTCAAAATAAATTAATTAAATAACTTGTGTCCCCACTGTGTCCGTGTACGGATACGGCACTTGTTTTGAAGTGTTGGTACTTCATAGAGTCAAAACTATTCTAGGTATTGAAATGTAAACAATACAGAGCCATGGAAGCAATTGAATCTGTTTAAACTTTAAAAATTGATGTCATGAAAGAGGAAGGGAACGTCAAGGTCCAAAGCTACAGACAGTCATATGATGAAGCATTTTGAGGGAACTCATTTCAAAATATCGAAGTTCTGTACATATTGTAAGTTTTCAAATATCAACTACTAACATGAGAATACCAGTTCTGAAGGCACTTACTTGCAGTTCATCAGAGCACTTAGCCTTTGGTGGTAGGGGAAGAAACCTGTCCAACGGATCAACATCCTTATGAAATTCCACAGAAACTGTAACTGTTTCATCAATCACAGTAGTTTCTGATTCATTCACAGCATAGTTCATTGTGTGAGACTCTGATGCATCCAGTTGTTCAGATAATTGAGTAGTAGCCGCCTGACTGCCAGATGTTACAACCAAGGCAGTTCCAGGAGGTGTTTTTTCATGAACGTCAACTACAAATGAAAAGAATTTATAAACATACAGACTGACAGAAAGCAGAATGTCATGAAAATTTTCAAAATAAGAAACTCCACCCATCTTCTCTACCATTATCTAAAAGTTGTGTATGTTAACCCAGCAAGTGCAAATGACCCAATCAATCAGTCCACACCAGCAACAAATAATTATAATTTTCTTTTATCCTGGTCATTCAAAAACTGTCACATAAATTAAAATATAAAGGTCGCATTTGGTCTACTTTTCAAAACTTAACTCTATTTATCATGATTTGGATGAAACATGTTAACCAAACATATTTTTAAAATACAACTCAAAATTACTTTCAAAACTCCTTTCTTCTCTTCTTTTTAATTTATTATTATTATTAATCAATCAATCAATCAATCACTTTTTCTCTCTCATCTCTGCTCTCACATTCTATACATCAATCAATCAAAAAAAAAATTACAAATCATCCCAAAACTATTTTCAAAACTCATAACCAAACAAATTTTCTCTTTCCAAATTATGATTCAAAAACTCAAAACACAACTCCACACTCAAATCATTATTCTAAACTAAACCAAACGGACCCAAAGTTTCTCCTATATCAAGCTTGGATAGGTTCACAATTGCAATACAAAGTTTCTGCAATCGCCAAAAAGTCGTGTATCCCAAGCCAACAAGTATAAGTGACCCAATCAATCATTCATTTAGCAACAGATAACTACGATTTTTTTTATCATTGTCATGTAAAAACTGTTAAAAATAAATGCAATATAAAGATTCTGCAATATCAAAATTGAATAGTTTCACAATTGTCATAAACCTGCTAAGAATAGCTGTGACTCCAAAATTATCAGTCCACAACAAAAAGTTAATTTTTTTTCTTTTTTCAATAGTATCAGGGCAACCACTTTGTACATTATGCCAAAGGTTATGTTTGTACACAATTTTTCCCCTCCCAAACACACACTGATGTGCACTAATTGAGCATTATTTTTTAGACATCCAAAAGCTGCCAATCATCATGATAAGAAGTTTCTGCTAAACAAAAGTTTGATTAGATTTGTAAAATCCCTTTTCACCAGAAACGAAGATAAGTGTCCATGAACAAGCACTACTTACTGAACAATGGCATAGATTCCCCAAACAAAGAAACTGTCAAACAAGAAAAAGATAAATCCTATATATAATTTCAAGCTATTATCACCAAAAAGTAACAAGCACTTTTCAAATGGAAGAGGAGGGCAGAGAGAAGGATTCCATTTCCTGTCATGCCATGACATAGTGATGTAAACCTGCACTTCATGAGAATTTCTGAGTACATGATGGACAAATAGAGATGTTGATATTTCTTTTTATTTTCGTACATGAAAAGATAGAGATAGAAAAAGATAAACAGACAGAAGAAAGAAGACAAAAGTAGAGAGTACAGAAAGAAGATAGAAAAGGGAGATAAAGGAAGAGAGACTAATATGGGGCAAAAGAAAGGTCAAGAGGAGATAAGAATATTGAATGACAAACAGAGGACATATGACATAGAAGAGAAACAGATAAGGACCCCAAGGAGAGGGCACAAGGAAGTAGTGAGAGAAATAGAGAGCAAAATTTTTTCAAATGATCTTTCAAAATTTATTCATATTTTAGGGATAATTTCCTATTGTGACATAATGCCCAGATATAGGCTTCATATAAAACCCTAAAAGTATGGAAAAACTGTCTAAACTCATATGATGACAGATAAAGCATTGAATCTTATTCCCAGAGTCACAAAAACTACTTAAATCTTGAAAATCAGTAGCACCCAAGTTGATTCAGCATTCCTCTCTAAGGTTGGCCCTCAAGAAATCACATACACTCCATAAAAAGCAAAAAGTCTTAGGGATGGGACACCTGCCTATGGACCTCAATTCCCAGTAGCTAAGAAGCACAGATGTGGATACAGATAAGGATACATCTCGAAAAATCAAGACGTTGACAAGGCAGGGATACATCAAAAACATTTTTATTTTATTTTTTTGGATAAATATACATCAAAAACATATGAACTAGCAAACAACAAAAAATAATGGAAAACTAAGGCCAAGTTTGGCATCCTCCAAAAAAGTCAAAAAGTCAATATCCTATTTAAGTCACATCATCAAAATAATGGAAAACTAACTAATTAAACATGAAGAAATAACACAATTCATAATTTAAACATCATTATTTAACATACAAAATACTACTTTGTCAATCAAAAACCATTATTACTATACCACAAATGTCAAAAGCATTTCACTTAATAATAAATAGCTCATCCATAAAAAATAAATAATCACAAGTGAATGTGTCCTAGTACGTGTCCAGCGGCAAGACACAACTATGGCAACTACTTTGAAGTGTCCATGCTTCATAGCTCAGTAGGTCCAACCAAGAAACTATGTAAGTCGAAGCTACCGTATCCCCAAGGAGAGATCTTTGCATCATCACAATCACTAGTTTAAGTTTTCACTGTGATACAAAACCTTAGTTGCACGAAGGGAGAGCGGGAACAAGAGCGGGAGCATGGAATCGTAGACATTTCAAGAATTGTTGGTTGGGAGCATTCATATATTTTAAATAATATATAAAAATATATTGTAAGATTACATTTTCTTCTCTAATGATAATAGAAATATATTTTGCAAATATATTATTATATGAACATGAGTTAAAAAGTTCAATAATTTTTTCATATAAATTCAAAGATCAAACAGATGGATATAAGTTAAATTCCAACTCCTTAGTTAGTATTAGGCCCAAACATGAGAAGCTCATGTAAAAGCTAGCCAACCCAAAGTGTATCATTAAGGCTCATTTTATTAACAAACCAAAGTGTATCCTAAATAAGCCCGAAAGCCCAAAAATAGTAATGTCGTTATCTTTTTAATAAATGAAAGTCTTTTCATCTGACAAAATAAAAAGAGCGAGTTAGAGTTTTAATAAAAGAGACTTTTCTTTGGCAAGAGTTCCAATAAAAAAAGAGTGTCCTAAAAGGGAACAACGATATATATATATATATATATATAGATAGAGAGAGAGAGAGAGAGAATCAGAAAAGAAAGAGAAAGCAAGAGACAGAGAACGAGAGACTGAGAGAAAATCAATCGACGTCGAAGTCTACGTCAATTGGAGAGAAGCTGATTTTCTGAGTTTTGTCTCTCTCCCCTTCTTCTTCTTCTTCTTCTTCTTTGTTGCTGTCGTGAAACACAGATCCTTAGCTTGAGCGTTCCCATCCAATTAGATCCGTAATTCTATCTCGATGGGGCGCAATTCTAACACGATTCTTGCTACGAATCGTTGAATCACAATTCTAGAAAAAAATCATCTCCCCTTCCCACAATTCCTGCTACTAAGTGCAAAACTAATAATGAAACCTGACATTCATAGGATTTTCTTCCAATATATATTGGGCAAATAAAACATGTTGGTTTCTTTTCTGATAAATAATAGAGAAGAAGATTAAGAAAATAAAGAGAAGAAAAAGAAATAAAATAGTAGAAAGAAGATAGGAGCAGAAAGAGAATATAGACAAAAGAAGAAAATTGAAAAAGGAAAGATGATAATATAAGCATCTAACAACAAGAGAGACAAACAATTAGAAATGGGAGTAGAAGAGAAACGAACTAGAGAATAGAAGAAATGAGGAAAGACAAAATCCTTGTTTGGTTTGTGTTTTGAGATATTATTTCAAAAATAATTTTCCAGAGAGAGTTGAGAAAATTTGAAATTTTTTTTGGTTGTAAATTTTGAAAAGAGTTTGGGAATTTGGGATGGTTTGATATTTTTTTGTAGTTAAGTAGATGGATGTGAGAGAAAAAGTGATTGAGAAAAAGAGAGGAAATAGAAAAAGCGATTGATTGATGTGTAGTAGAGAGAAAAGTGGTTTTGGAATTTTTTTTTTTTTTTTTTTTAATTTTCAATCAAACATGTTTTTGGAATTTTTCTCCAAAAACATAATTTGAGAGACAAACAAAACATGCCCAAAGAAGAAGAAAACACTGATGACGCAAGATAGAGAGCACAAATCTTTTCAAAATATCCTTTCAACTTTTAATCATCCTCTAGGATTAATTTCATTTACACAGTGACTTTTTTATAGGCTTCATTAAACACAAAGCCTCCAAAAACTTGCCTCAAACTCATCGCACCCAACGTAATAAAAGATAAAGCATCAAATATTATTCCTCAAACATTAAAACTCCTAAAAAAATTAAAAATATAGCAATATTTTCCACAAAAAACAACTAATAACCACTAAAGTTGTATCAGTCTGCCACAATCTTCTCATTAATCCTACATCAATTAATATGCATCACATAGAATTCCCATAGTCTCCCCCCTATGAGCCCTACCATTACAAAAGTTACAAGGCATACAGAAAAGGATATGCAAACAAAGAATAGAAAAACACATCAAACACCCATAGTATCCTAAATGTAACCACTCTCTCATGTAAATTGAGAGAGAGAGAGACTGAACGAAATAATCCCACTATCCTAATAATGTGTCTTGCTTTTCTTTTTAAAAATCCCATTTTATGTTATGCATATTAATTTGATTGTCACCTTTATTCTAAAAAAATATATATATTAAATACAAGACATTTGGAAAAGAGTAGTAGTGCTATTATAATGATTAGATGATTAATAATTAACTTTGATTTTGGCCTTTGTTATTATAAATGAGCACCAACATGCTTTTCCTCCATTCTTCAGGCCTTTACTAATTATGTAATATCTTGTTAGAAAACTTATTCAATGAAACTATCCCTTTACCTGAACACTTCAAAGCTTCTATAGAAATTCCAACTGATTTTTCATCTCTTCATAACTTCCCTTACCTCCACAACCCTATGTTTTTTATAATTATTATTAAAGTTAAAATTCTCATAAACTTATGCAATGTTTCAAAATTGTTTTATCTATACTATCTATACTATTATATAAAGTGTACAACTTATTTGTTGTGAACACCCTTTTGAAGCTTTGTCACACTTTCTCTCAATCTTAAATTTCCCTATGCAACTACTGATTTCAAATTTTAGAACTTCTTCAGTTTTTAAAAGCCTACCCATAGGGTGTGCACAACTTCTTGTAATTTATGTGTAAGCTTGTGTACCACTGTGCCCATACCTACCACCATTGTCCCAACTTCTGAAAAATCGGTGGTGGGTCTATATCATGCCTTATTTGTGCTTCTAAGCTAACGACAACCAAAATACTCGGAAACAATTCAACAATGCATATATGACAAATTTATACACGATAAATGCGCCAAACTTCGAATGATTGGTTGAGGTGGAAATTTGATTGAATTGTATGATTAAACACTGAAAACAAAGTAAACATCATACAACTTAAACAATGTATGAATATGCATATATGACTGTAGTGCACCAGTTTAACATTGTTTACAACATTAATGTATTGATGAGCATAAACGCACACAGAAAATATGGCTTAAGACTATTGTCAAACGAAGTGTATATGAGAAACAGCATATTGGGTACCAATCAACAATAGATACTATCAATAGTGATTGCTAATGATCGTTACAAACCATTACTTGTTTGAAGCTGTGAACTAATCATGACGACACTAGTGCCCACTATCTCTCCCTCCTGTCAAAAGAAAGGGAAAAAAAAAATTAGCAATAACCTATGATGCACGGATACTTCAAATAAGAAGACGTATCCGTATCGTATCCGTATCGGATACCGATAATCCTAGGATACTTACAGATACGTATCAGATACTTATTAAAAGTATCGAATACTTCTTAATTAATTTTTCATTAATTTTGAAGTATTGGATACTTAGTTTTGAAATATCGGATGCTCCAAGTCACATATTATCGGATACTTCTTAATTAATTTTAAAGTATCAAATGCTCCAAATCACATATTACTCCTTTACAAAATTAGAATTGTATCTTTTCTTGCATAACATCATAATATAATAAAATTGCGAGGATAAATAGAATATTTTTACAATACTTTGCTTAGTTTTTTTTTATAAAAATAACATAATAAGCTAAAGTAATAGAATTCATCAAATTGATATATCTTCATTGTATCATGCATGTCCCCTATAACTACATAAAAGTAAAGATTAAAAAGATAATATAACAATAGTAAAATTAAATATCAATAAATAAATAAGCAAATAAACTTGCATAGAATATTTTTGACTAGTGCAAAAGGAAAAAACATAGGGTCAAGTTGTGGATTGTTTTGATATTATAATATCAACATATTAGACTTAATATTGAAATGAAATATTAGCAAGATCTATTGAAAATTTAAAAACTAAAATAGCTACTGCCTTAAATTACTACCTAATTCTTAAAGATTAGTATTTTGCATCGTAAAGTTACTGTGGTTTCTCAACATTCTTGAGCTTATGTGTAACTCACTGCTAATAATTTATTTATTTTTTATTTTTTATAAACGTATCCTACTCGTACCCGTATCTTACTTTTTAAGTTTTGTTATATCGCCGTATTCCGTATCGTATCGTATCCATATCCGTGCTTTCTAGGCAATAACATATTATTTACTAAACTAAACACCTTAAAGAAATTCAAGAAAATTCAACAAAAAAAAAAAAAAAGTAAAATTCCAAATACCAAATACAAATACATACATGTACACAACCACATAAATACCTCAGCTTCAGGAGACAATGCGACTTCGTCATGGCCATAATCCACAATAGATAGCCTATGCATTACAGTTCTACTCAATTCCGTCAAAACCAGTTGTTGTGGTGGTGGCGATGAGAGAGATGGAGTTAGAGGCCGGAAATCGGTGGGTGGTTTTGGGGTAGAATTGTCATTGGACAGTGGTGGTGTGTCATCATTGGCCAAATCAACAACTCTCTCTTCGCTCATGTTGTTCTTGGAATCATCTTCGTTGTTCAAATCCATGTTATCATTGGCGTCATCGTTTGGGGGTTCTTGGTGTTCCATATCTTCCATTTCATCATCATCATCAGAGTATGTCGAGGAGATTAGATTAATACCTTCTGATTCTCCTCTCCGTGCAGCCATTTGAATTTAGGGTTTTCTGATAAAAAAATTGATCAGGAGAATTAGGGTGTGATTTGAGTGAGATTCAATTAGGTTTTCCATAGCTAATACACATATATATACATACAGAGATAGAGAGATTCACACATTATTGAGAAGGCGATTTTCGAACAGCAGTGAGAAAATACGAACTTTGAAGAGAGAGAGAAAGAGAGAGAATTGTTTTCCAAAGAGGAAGAGGGTAATCCAAGGCGTAACCAAGGCAATGTTCTATCAACATTCAAATTCTTGCCTTGTATCGTGCAAGATTTCAAGCAATTCAAATTTGCCACCACAAGGAAGTACATGACATCCTTAGATTCGGTTAAGTTAGGGTTAGAATTTTGAAACTTTGAAGGGTTTTGTTATTTATTCTGCAATTTTCATGCTTTATTCTGCAATTTTCATGCTTTATTCTTCCATTGATACAAAACCAGAAATCCATAGTTGAAAATTTTGAATGGCTTTGAAATTATTTGGTAACACTAATTCAAACTCAGATTGTATACCCTGAATCATGGTGCAACAATTGGATATAGATTCTAGTAACCCTTGACAAAAAAAACAAATAACTGAAAATTGAAAGGAATACAAAGCAAATAGAGAAACAGAGATTCAGATAAGAAAATGAGAGACAAGTAGAGGGGACGAACCTACCGACCCAGAATGAAGCGGAAACCCACGGAGAGAACTACGAATCGTGAGAGAACGGCTGTGCAAGGGTGAAAATCGTGGAGAGAGATGAGGGGTTTTACATACCAGCGAAAAAAGAGGGGACTTTTGGGAGGGAAGATGAAATTGCATTCGCTAGAGTTTATGAGTTGATAACATATGATTGGATAATAGAGTTGTATTTTAGGTTTGTGAATTTTTCAATTTTGATTTGAGCGTGAAAAATTTATTTAGTAAAAGAGTTTTGAATTAAGTGAAAATTTTTGATGTGACATATGATATTTGATATAAAAATTTACAACTCACAACTAAACATACAACTCAAAATTCTATTAAAGTTCATAAAAAATTTTAAAAATTTTGAAAAATATTTTTTGTTGAATATATGAAAATTAACAAGTGTCAATTGCAAAAAAAATAAAAAAAAAAATTGCACTGTTCTGGTCAATCAACCGGACGACTGGTGGGACGATCGGTTAATCTAAATTTTTTCACATTCGATCGAGTTTTTAAAAATGAGTGTGGAATTAATTTTTGAAAATAACAACTAAACACCATATGCAAACTAAAAGTTAGAATCATAATTCCAAAACTCTTCCAAATAGAGCCTAAGAATTGCTGTGCGAGGGACTTTTTTGGTTTGATTTTTTTTAAAAAAAAATTAAAAATTAGTTTTCTAAAAATTAAATGCTTTTTTTTTTGTATATATATATATTTTTTTTTGCGTAAATATTTTTAAAATTTTAATTTTTTTTTTACTTTTTTAAATATACCTTACTTAGATGGTAACAACTCTTGCCGAGCTATCCATAATCCAGCATTAGGCCGTTCACTTCCAACAGCTTACACAAACCGTCTTAGCTCCGAGATGCCCAACCGGTCAACTGCATCTTGGCCAAGTCAACTCGCCCTAGTTCTCCACCTCGGCCCAGCTCTATTTGGTTCATCATAGCTCGGTAAGGTCAACACGATTCATAGATAGAACACTCTGGTCGAGGTAGTGGAGCTTGGTTGACATTGCTTGGTGGACCTAGTCCATTTCAGTCTGGCCCAACTAACTGTAAGGCAGTGGGTCGGGCTCGGCCCATCAAGTCAATAACTCGGCCATTTTGCAAGGCCAAAACTTCTCTCTCAATTGTCCCTTAATCTGTTATGCTCCAGTATAAATTGAATTACCAATACTGGCTAAGCTATATGAGTTGCCTGGTTAGAACATTCCACGGTTCAAATCTAACGCCTTAAGGAGCCCGTTGCGAATCACACGCTACACAAAGCTCAGTGCGAGTTTCGTGCTGCCTGGAGCTCGATGCAAATACCACACCACACGTAACGCTGTTCAACCCACTACTTTGACGCAATGTCTTCTCAAGGGGACACGCGTCATAATGAAAGGCGCGATTTCCAAAAAACCTTTCAAATTTTTGGCGCCCTTTCAAGTGTGAGCCATATGCATACATCCTGTACTTTACTTCTAGATACTCACTGTTCATCTTCTTTTCTGACGTCGAACCCAGCAAGTCAGAGCATCCAGTCCCTATTTTCCACATTTCGTGCCCACATCAGAGCTTTTTCGTCAGGGATACTTCTTCACAGCCATCGTCAGAGCATCTTTCACCCGATCAAAACTTCGATCAAAGCTTCAACCCATAAGTTTCTCTATGCCTGCTTATGTTCATCTCTATTCTTCACGTGCTTTGAATGTTTTGGGGTTTTCACTATATTTTCCATGTATAAAAGATCATAAAGGGGTCTAAAACCATTAAAAACTTTAATAAACAAGGGTTTTGGGCAATTCCTGGCATTGAGTAGCCTCTATCGTGATTTTTCATCACCTAGTTCATCCTCTGGGATGAACACAGGAAGAACTAGGCTTAACCGGGCGAAAAATCGTAATTTGAACCAAAATCCCAACTTAATCAAGCAAACTTTGTATCTGTCATACCTGAAGAAGAAACCGGGCTAGGAATCACAATAACTTAGGGCAATAAGGTACCGGGCTAGGAATCACAATAACTTAGGGCGGTCGCGTGATCGAGATAAATCTGCTTCGCTCACGCAGTTGAGCTAAAACCCAGCTAAGTACACACTAAGCACTGATGACTGAGCCAAAACCCAACCCCTTTGAACGACCGAGCTAAGAATCCTACTCACTTGAATAACTAAGCTGCCACTTGTACTTAAATTTGATTTTCCACTTGCAGAATCCTAGGAAACCAGGCACGCCAACACAAGTGCTCTCAAAGACCGAGCAGTCGCTGCATAGTTTTGATAAACACGCTTTGCCGAGCAGACTTGACAAGCCTACATGGGGCGATAACGCTTCCTGGTAAACACACGCGGGTGCCCTAGCCGAGTTCTGAGAAGAGTACGGCATTTCCAGCCGACGTGCATTTCAAGCTCAGGGAAGAGGGGCGACCCCTTGGGGCAAATTGGACTCTTGCCCCTTCATCGTTGTCCATCATCAAAGGGGGCTTCGCTTCCTAATACAGCCATTGATGTGCAAATTTTTAAGACACACCGGGCTGTGCCCAACTCAAGTCTCCACCAACATCTTTCGCATAACAAATGGAGTTGCCGAGCTGAATTATCGACTGGGCTTAAACTTAGGCCTGGCCAAGATACTTCGACAATATACGTTCAGTCTCACCAGTGACAATTTTAACTGGTATTTAAAAATTAGATTGGGCAAAGAGCATCTAGTGACCGGCACACTGGACAATGATCTTCATGACGACGACTGTTTCTAGGTGACCGACAACTATGAAACGATCGATGTACCCGGTTGGTACATCAGTAAAAACAAAGCCTTAACACGTAAGCCAATTTCCAAAACCAGTCAGTTTCATTTTGATCTAGTTTTGCCGAGCTAACAGACTTCTTTTGCAGGTATCACCAATCTGCAAGTGCTATATGCACGCCTTGACGAAGCGGCTCTAAGAACCGCACTACAATATAAAAACCTTAACTATCACGATTTGCTCGATTACGTGTCGAGTTATCGTTATTCGGCCAAAAGAAAGAGTAAGGTCATAGACTTCATGTTTGAATTTTCCCCCCTCTAGATCTAAATCTTCTAGACGTCTCTCTCATTCGCCTAATCGAAGAAGAGGAGATGGCGAAAAGAAACAGAATCAAAAATCTCATCACAACTACCTCTCAGGAGATACCGAGTGGCCTCATTACACCTACTCCAACAGCATGTCAAAGTTTAGCAACTGTGCTGGCCTTGGCCATCTCCAATGCTCAACCATCCGGTACTTAATCTCGCCGGGTTGGAAAAAGGGCTCACTCGACCGATCCTTTGTTTGAGTTAGAGGTCGAGTTTAGCACCAAGCACGTCGCCACCGAGGTTAGCTAGATCCTACCTGGCAACCAAAGTTGCAGTCCCGAGGAATGATTATCTTAGCCGACGCTTCTGTCAAGGGAGACAAGGAGCACCTCCTGGCCTTTGATATGTCCAAGTCCTTACTGTTGCCGGGTGACATGCTCAACACCGACTATGTGCCAGACGCCCGAATGGTTAAATCCGCAGTGAAGTCCATGACCAGGGTAAATGTTGCACTGAAAATTGGTTAACTGTTTGCTCGGCTGTACATTCTAATTGTTTTCCACCTTACAGGTGATCTAGAAGACCCACATGGTGATGGACCAGGTTATGAATCTGCTCCAGAAGGTGGCTGACGTCACTACGTAGGGAAAATTCTTCGAAGCTGAACTAGGCTTGGTCAGGCCAAAGCTTCTCTTGAGCTCACCAATGCAGACAACTCTCGGCTCCTTGGTCAACTTTTCAACACCGAGCAAGAGAGAGATGGGATGCGGTGCGTGATGAGCTGGAGGCGTTGAAGAAAGAGAAGTCTAAAGTTGTGAAGGCGAGAGAAGACCAAGGTTTTAAGGATGCCAAAGAAAGCTACACCAAGCAAGTCAAGGCCATCAAAGACATCTTCTTCCAATCCGGTTAGAAGGCCACTTGCGAGAGCTCGGTCATGGTCCTTCGACCAAGGTGTTCACCGCTCCTCCCCCTCACTTCCTGCCGAGCTACATAATTTCTTACACCAAGAACATCTTCAACGCTTTGCACGAGGAAAGGGCTGATAAAGAGATAGAGGCTCCGCTAGCCGATCTCGACGGAGATGAAGATACTGCTACGACCGAGCAAGAGAGTGTTGTTACAACCGAACAAAAGAGAGTAGCTCTTGGCGATGATTTTGTTGATGATCTAACCCCCCTTGTTTGACTTGTTAATTTTTCTTCTTTTTGTTCTTTCTGTTCTCTTATTTCTGCACATTGAAACCGGGCTATCTGTAACACCCCCAAAATATAACAATAAAACTAATTCACAATATTAATTAAACAACAACATGAGACAAAGTAATTATCTCTAATTTATATGATTCAGCTACACAAAAAGATGGCATATGCAACTATACATTCATAAGTCCTAACCCCTAAATCTACAGCATGTGTCATGAGCAAAAGATACGAAATAAAAGATAATCAAATAAAGTAATTCCCTATTGTAAACACCCCATTTTTTACGGTCCTTACAACTTGGACGTCCTCGCATGCATACCCGACGATGAACGTATTTGCTTGCCAAGTGCTTGAAGTCCTCAGCGGAATGCCACAGCTTTGAGCCTTTCAAACCCTACAACCTTGTTGCCTTAGTTTTGGACTAAGCCTTGTTTCTTCAAGCCTGCAACCCTTGGTAGCCTGTCGGCCACCATTGTGGGTTACCGGCCACTAATGTGGCTGGCCGGCCACTAGTTTCTTTTGCAGATATTTTGTGACAGTTGTGCCAACTATTTGCACAGATGCATGCACCTGCCCCTACGTGTCGGGCTGAATGTTTTTTAAGAAGGCTCATGGTTTTCTATATATAAGAGACCTCCCTTCATGTTTTAAAGGTTAGAAAATTTTAGAACAAAAAATTTCCTCTCTCTCTCTCTCTCTACCAAATCTCTACACTTTTGCTTACAAATTTTCAACCTTTGCCTATACACTTTTAACTAAACCTTCTCATCTTTGAGCTGAGGTGTCTTTGAGCTTGGTTTAAGCTCTAGAGAGTGTGTTTGTCTTGGTTTTATTGCTTGAATTGCTTCTTCTCTTCAAAAGGTATAAGGCTTTGCCTCTTTATTTGCTTTA